GGGAGACACAGAATGGGAAGCAGGCTCCAGGCTCTGAGCCATCAGCCCAGAGCCCGACGCGGGGCTCGAACTCACGGACCGCGAGATCGTGACCTGGCTGAAGTCGGACGCTTAACCGACTGCGCCACCCAGGCGCCCCAACACCCCTAATGTTTTTATTTATTTTTGAAGGAGAGAGAGACAGAACATGAGCGGGGGAGGAGCAGAGAGAGAGGGAGACATAGAATTTGAAGCAGAATCCAGGCTCTAAGCTGTCAGCACAGAGCCCGATGTGGGGCTCAAACTCACGAACTGTGAGATCATGACCTGAGCCGAAGTTGGATGCTTAACCGACTGAGCCACCCAGGCGCCCCTGTTGAACTTCTTTGATTGTCAAAATGATGGGGCAGAGAAGAAAGGACATGTAACTGTCATTTATTTGTTAGAGGAAAGGGATGCTAAGTATTCCTCAATGCTGGAGACAGTTGTGCGATTCAAAGAACTGTCTCGTATCTCATAATATTTTGAATATCTCATCGAATTGCTTTTAATTATCTGAGCCTCAAACCTAATTCCATTTTTTTTCTTTTTTTTGGACAGGGGAAGGAGCAAGTGATTTTTATATATATCCAATTTCCAGGTATGCAACTACCAAGTATATATAGGGAAAATTGCACTTTGTTTTGTTCAGAACTTTATCAAGAGTAGTTCACCATTTAGTAAAATCACATCTAAAACACTGCCTTGTGTAGTATCTAAGTAGCTAACACACTGTATCAGCCTACAGTTGAACCTGTTCCACTTAAGGTGATTTTACAGTGAGGCGCATGCTGTGACTTTTGCATTACGCTTTTTAGGATCATTGTGAACAAGCACTTATGAAATAAAAATTAAATAAGTTTTATTTTATTGCTCCTTACTGTTACAACTAGAGCATTATGTCATTTTTGTTAGTGAAGCATAGTCGACACACAGTGTCGCATTAGTTTCAGGTGTACAAAACAGTGATTTGACAACTCTGTACATTATGCTATGCTCAAATGTGCAGCTACCATAGGCCACCATACACCGCTATTACAATACCAATGACTATGCTGTATCTTTCATCCTTGTAACTTATTCTTTCCATAACTGGAAGCCTGTACTTCCCATTCCCCTTCACTCATGTTACCCATCCCTCATTTCCCTTCCCTCTGGCAACCATCAGTTTGTTCTCTGTATTTATGGGTATTTCTGTTTTTGTTTATTCATTTGTTTTGTTTTTTAGATTCCACATATAAAGGAAATCATTTGGTAATTGTCTTTGTCTGACTTATTTCACTTAGCATATAATACCCTTTCGGTCCATCCACATAGTCACAAACATTAGGTTGTTTTTTAAAAAAACATTTTTTTCTATAGATTGCATGAACTGTGAATTTCATCTTGGGCTAGAAAAAGGGGCTGTCGGTGTGCTATCATTCAAAACATCATTCTGAAATCACATAGTGAACCAAGAACAGAAAACCGGCAGAGAAGCTATGACAGCAGGAATTGTGGTTGAGAATCCAACTTAGAGAGTGAGACTGACTGGACTTCAAATACAGGCACAATATTCTGGTTATTTTGGAAAGGCTAATTAACTTCTCTGGCTTTCTTTTCTTCAACTGTAAAATTGGGTTCAGAATTATCTAAGTTGGGGTTATTGTGAGGATAAAATGAGAACAATTAAGGGGCACCTGGGTGTTTCTGTGGGTTAAGCATCCAACTTTAGCTCAGATGATGATCTCACGGTTTGTGGGTTCAAGCCCCACATCAGGCTTTGCGCTGACAGTGCAGAGCTTGCTTGGGATTCTCTCTCTCCCTGTCTCTCAAAATATATAAACTTAAAAAAAAAAAAAGAACAATTTATTGGTGTCAATAATAAACGTCATATTGCATCTTTCTATAGCCATCCTTTCTTTGGTGAACTAACTTCAGGTTATCTCTAGGAGATCGGTTCTCATCAGTTCTGAAACTGATGCCACAGGAAAATAATTGAAGTGGCTCCTGTGGTGTAGTGGAAAGAACTCCAGATTTGGGAACCAGAAAATTTGGCCTCAAGTCATGAATGTCACCCTTTGTGACCATGAAACCTCTTAAGCCTCTGTCTCTGTAAAATGGGACAGCAGCATCTATCTCATAGAGTTGCTCTGAATTTTAAATAAGTTAATAAATGCAAGTGCTTAGCATGGGTAGAAATGTTGGTTTGTTATTATTCTCAGCATAATTGGGAAGTACAACTGAAAATGATAAAGCAGTGCTTCCCAAACTTCAGTCACTCTCGTTCCATGGTTATGATTTTTGTCTTATTTAGCACTTCTACTCTTAAAAAGTTAGTATTTTTTACGTGTCAACTTTTTCTACTTACATGTTTTAAAATAAATATCGAAATTGCCAACCAATGGAAAAACAGTATTAGTTGCCACAAATAGAAATTTTAACATAAATACAATGAAAACAAAATTTAATAAATTTTAGCAAGATACCACTGCCTGTGGAAAGTTCTGAGTCTGAGGCTTGCTCTTTCTTAAAATGGGAGATTAATAAGTGTTACGGAAGTGTTAAAGAAACAGCAACATTTACCTGGGACGGTCTCTGAAAATAATCACAACGATTGGCTGGAAAATGTTTTTTATTTTAATATGGAGGGGGCACACGTTTAGATTCCTAAAATCATCTCAAATTACCTCTCCCCACAGATAAATACTGTAATGAAGCACATGAGTAACAAGTTGCCTCTATTCTTGGAAGGGAAATGATAATTACAATCCCTCACATCTCTATGGCAGTTTTACATTTGCACAGCACTTGGTTACTTAATCTTAGCTGACCACCACAGTAGTTTGGTAAAACGGGTGGTATAAACACACCCACCTTTTATATAGTTCATAGATAAGAGGGTTAGCGACTGGCCTAACAACATTAACAGCAACAATTTTTTTGAGCACTTAATACGCCCCAAGCCCCTTACTAAAGGCTTTGTAGCCTTCATATAAAAGTTAATCCCCACGCCTGCTCTGAGGCATGTTCCGTTATCCTCATTTTACAGATGACGAAAGTGAAACACAGAAGCAACACAGCCAAGGTCACCCAGCCAGAGGGAGCGCGATGTGAACCCAGTCAAACTGATAAAACCCCTGTACTTTCTTGCCCAAGGTCACGGGGGAGTGAGGCCGCCGGAGAGGGAAGGCGCTGACCTGTCGGAGACTTGTTCCTGGGTGAGCTTCTTGTCACTCTGCAGCAGGATGGACACGTAGTGGCGGATCATGCCCACAAAGAAGGTGATAATAACGATGGGCAGGACCACCCAAAGGCGGATGTTGGAGTCGAGCAGCAGCTCTGGCCCCGCCATCTCACAGGGAGCCTGCTCCGACCAGGTGTAGCCGGGTTTCTTTTCCCCGAGGTACGGAAGTCGCTCTTCGATTTCGCCTCCCGGCCTTCTCCCGCCTCTCAGCCTGGCTGGCCCCAAACCCTACTCCGGCCTCGGCCCTCGCGCACTGCCCCAGCCGGGCCGCCCGGCCGCGCACTTCCGGCGCGGATGTTTTGCGTCACGGTGAGGCGAGCTTTGGTGGCGTCAGCGTGGCGTAGCGCCGGGCGCGCAAGTCGAAAACGAGGGGCGGAGACGGCTTCTCCACCGGTGAGAGGAGTCGCGGTCGCCGTCTCTCGAGGCTCCGCGCGTCTGTGATCTGGTCGCTAGGTCCCGGCCGAGTCCGGCCTTTCCTTCTGGGGCTCCGCGCCCCGAACGTCGGCCTCCTCATCTGCCCTGTCGTGGAATTTAGCCCCCCAGGTACCTCCCTGCGTCGTTAAAATAACAAAATGAGAAAGGCTTTTACCCCCAACTCGTTTTCGAAAGACTTAGTCCAGACAGCTGGCCCAGCCCACCAGTCTGTCCTGGCTTCTCTGGAAAGGAGGCATGTTATGGGCTTGCGCCCTGATGTCAGACGGCCATGATTTACCTTAATTTTTCTGTCTATAAAATGGCTGATAATGGTTATAGATACTTCACGAGGCAGCGGATGAAGAAAACGCTTAGCAGGGTGCGTGGTAGTTAGTAAATGTTAACTATTTTTGGAAGACATCGTTCTAATTAAGAGTGAGTATCGGTGGTAGGTAGTGCGGATTCTGGAGTCAGACTGCCTTAGGATCCCATTTATGCCACTGAAGGAGAATAATAATGGTACCTCTCTCCAAAAGGTTAGTGAGTTGTGAGGTATTCATTATAAAGCACTTAAAATCGTTCTTGTTAGTTATTAATATTTACTTGCCTGCCAGCCATTCTCATTTAGCGAATATTTCCCGAAATTTTATTCCAGGTACTGTGCTAGGCACTGGGGATGCTGAGATAAGTCATTCCGGGTTCCTGTTGTGAAGGAGCCCTGCAGTCTAATGTGATGTGGTAGGGGATCCTAGATACACTCTGTGGAACAGGGAAGCTGGAGTTGCAAACCTCCTGGGGGATAGGAGGAACATTTTTCAAGGAAGATGACATTTGGCCATGTCTTTCAGGATTAGTAGTTTCCAAGCAGAGAGGAGCGTTTCAGGTGAAAAAAAACCTTATGCAAAAGTGCTGAGACCAGGAATGTTCTGGTTTATGAGAGACACTAGGAGGCCCTTAATGTGGTTCAGGCCCTCCCCTACCTCTGCAGTTTCATTTATTCTTTGTTTTTTTTTTATGCTTATTTATTTTTGAGAGCGAGAGTGGGAGAAGCGTGAGCGGGGGAGGAGCAGAGGGGGGACACAGAATCTAAGCAGGCTCCAGGCTCTGAGCTGGCAGCACAGAGCCCGAGCTCCTTACTTGTTCACTGTTGAGTTTTTCTCTGCCTGGACTACTCTTCTCATACATCTTCTATTGGTAATCTCCTGTTTCAGCCTTCAGGTCCCTGCTTTAATACCATTTTCTCAGATGATCCCTGAAAAATTGTCTCAGCTTTTCTTCATCTCCCCATACCCATATCTAGACTAAATGTCCATGTAAGCCCTCATAGCACCCTGTACTTTTGTAGCACTTACACAATGTAGTGAAGTAACTACATCAAGACCATTCATTACTATAATTTAAATTCCCTGAGGGCAGGGATCATGTCTTGTTCACAATTGTAACCCCAGCACCTGGGACAGTCTCCAACATATAATCCTGTATTCATGAGTTAAAGGAGATGGTAGATTGGGGCTAGATGATGAAGGATCTTGAATGTCAGAAAGAGAACTGGGTTTTATCCTTCAGCAGGAAGAAAGTGGTCTGGCTATAGAGGCAACTAGGTAAAGTCTTGAAAGCAGGGGAGTATTGACCAGATACAGGAGTTGAAATTCTCTCAGCACCTGGATTTAGACAGTATTAACGTAAAGACTTCTTTGGTATAGAAGTGTAGAAGTTCTTTGGCTTTTGATAGAGTAGTTTTCTTTGAGCTATAGCTTTGACTTTTCAGGATTTATCTGGCTTCTAGAGGGTAACTTCTACCCTCTGACTTTGCTCTCAAAAGTAATTTAATTGCAGAAGACTTCAGTCAGAATGGTTCCCAAGAGAAGGCCGTCAAAATTGGAGGATAAAGAAAGCCTGACAGAAGAGGCTTCCAGTAAGTATCTAGTTATTTGTTGTTTTATTTCCTATAACAAATGTGTGAGGCACTTACAGAGAAAGTTCCTCCTTTCAAGCTGGGAATCATCACAACTTAATGGTTAGAACACACAGAATCTGGTATCAGGAGATTTGGGATTGAGTTTCTGCCTCTGATTCCATGTATGATTTTGGGCATGCCCACTGTCTCTGAGCTTCTGTCTCCACATCCCTAAGAGGAATGAGTATTATAGAGCTCATCTACTTACATCATCTAGATGGTGAGAAAAAGGTACAACATAGTCTGTATCCTTTAAACTTGTGGTCCCCTTTCCTCCCTTAAAAGAAATTATGGGGGCATCTGCCTTGCTCAGTCAATAGAGTGTGTAACTCTTGGTCTTGGGGTTATGAGTTTGACCCCCCCCCCATATTGGGTGTAGTAGAGACTGCTTAAAAGTAAAATCTTAAAAAAATTACAATACAGATAGACTGATGTATGAAGGAAAGGCATCATATCAAAGCAAACACATTAAGGGTGAAGAAACAGTGTAAATTCTGTCCATATGAGAATGTGGTGGACAGAGGCCCTAAGAGTTCTCATGAAAAGAGGTTGATTGTCTTTTCATTTATTATACTCATCTACTCTGTTAAGGTAGTTGTAACTTGTTACATCATTAAAGGAGAAGAATAAATAATCATACTTAATTTCAAGTATCTGTTTGTTTTGTTTACCATTATTTAAATTTATTTGTTTGTTTTGAGAGAGAGAGAAAGGGAGAGAACTCGAGCAGGAGAGGGGCAAAGAGAGAGAGGAAGAGAATCCCAAGCAAGCTCTGCAGTATCAGCACAGAGCCTGATGCGGGGTTGAACTCTTGAACCATGAGATGGCCTGAGCTAAAATCAAGAGTCGGACACTTAACTGACTGAGCCGCCCAGGCGCCCCATTTATTATGTTTTATTACTTCTCTTGGGTTGAAAACCTTGGGATAAAACCACTCTGGGCTTTGTACTCAAAGGCTTGATGCAGGAGAACCTGCCTGATTCTTTCTACCCCTGCATCAAGTTGCGTGCATCAAGATTATTACCTCCTGGAGAACTTTTTTTTGAGACAGAGAGAGACAGAGCATGAACGGGGGAGGGTCAGAGAGAGGGAGACACAGAATCCGGAACAGGCTCCAGGCTCCGAGCTGTCAGCACAGAGCCCGACGCGGGGCTCGAACTCACAAATTGCGAGATCATGACCTGAGCCGAAGTCGGCCACTTAACCAACTGAGCCACCCAGGCGCCCCGCTCCTGGAGAACTTTTTAAAATTCACACGCCCAGGACCCATACCTGAGATTTTAATTGAGTAACTATGGGATGTGACCTAAGAATGCACTTTTTTTTTTTTAATGTTTATTTACTTTTGAGAGACAGAACACAAGAAGGGGAGGGACAGACAGAGAGGGAGATATCGATTCTGAAATAGGCTCCAGGCTTTGAGCTGTCAATGCAGAACCCAATGCAGGGCTGGAACTCACAAACTGCAAGATCATGACCTAAGCTGAAGTCAGACGCTCAACTGACTGAGCCATCCAGGTGCCCCTTTAAGTTTATTTGAGAGAGAGAGAGCATGCACATGCAGGGGAGGGCAGAGAGAGAGAGAGAGAGAGAGAGAAAGAGAAAGAATCCAAGCTAGGCTCTGCACTGACAGCACAGAACCCAATGGGGCTCGATCCCGCTAATCGTGAGACCATGACCTGAGCTGAAACCAAGAGTCAGATGCTTAACTGACTGAGCCATCCAGGTGCCCCAAGAATGTGCTTTTAATAAGCTTCTTAGTGATTCCAGTGCAGTGGTTTGCAAACAACAGTTTGAGGCACCCTGACTGCTTTAGAATTTGGGTGATTAAACAGTTCCATGGTTATTTTTATTAGAAGTGGCATGTTTTGAATTCTCCAAATCAAAATGCAATAGATAAAAATAATTCTATTTATTGATTGTTTGATTTGTATGCCACTATGTCTGACCATTGTTAGAGATAAAATTTTACTATAGCATGAATTTCAATATAATTCTTCAAGAACCCATCAACTTTCCTTTTAGGGTTATTCTAAAGTTTACATTTTTGGGGCGCCTGGGTGGCGCAGTCGGTTAAGCGTCTGACTTCAGCCAGGTCACGATCTCGCGGTCCGTGAGTTTGAGCCCCGCGTCGGGCTCTGAGCTGATGGCTCAGAGCCTGGAGCCTGCTTCCGATTTTGTGTCTCCCTCTCTCTCTGCCCCTCCCCCGTTCATGCTCTGTCTCTCTCTGTCCCAAAAATAAATAAAAAACGTTGAAAAAAAATTTTTTTAAGTTTACATTTTTTAATCTTTACTGTTTGTCACATTCTTGAAAATTTTGTTTGTTTTCAGAAGCCAGCAAGCAACCACTTTCCAAGAAGACAAAGAAGTCTCATATTCACAATGAAGTGGAAGAAAACGACAATGTTTTTATAAAGCTTCTTAAAACATCAGGAGTTATTCTTAAAACAGGAGAGAGTCAGAATCAACTAAGTAATATTTTAATTTAAATCTTTTCTCTGGGTTTGGTGCAGGGCTCAGCACTGAATCATGGATTTTCAAAATAGAGGCAATGAAGATTAAAAATAGAAGTATTGTCTTTCTTGAGACAAAATTAACGTTGAAATTGCTTTTTAGAGAATATTGTTATAGTTTTTGGTTCTGATTAATGCATGTTAAGTAAAGTAATTCTAATTTTTTTTAGAAAAAATTATATACTTGTATTACTTTGTGTTTTATTGTGGAAAAATAAATCAATACTCAAGAGAGTAATTAGATCTGTGTCAGAATAATTTCAAATGAAAATTTATAAAGCCATGTAAAGCCCTGCTTTTAGGGCATAGATTACTTTATTCTGCTAAGATTATGGCGTATCTTTTTTGGTACACTTAATAGCTATCCTCTATCAGAGCTAAATCTGTTTTACGATGGGTTTAGAAA